AAGAAGAAGAAGAAGAAGAAGAAGAAGAAGAAGAAGAAGAAGAAGAAAGAAGAAAGAAGAAAGAAGGAAGCAGGAGGAGAAGAGAGGAAGGAAGGAAGGGAAGAAAGAGAGGAAGAAAGGAAGGAAGAAAAGAAAAAAGAAAGGAAAGAAAGGAGAGAAAAAGAAAGAAAAGAAGAAAGAAAAGAAAAAAGGAAGAAAACACTCAAGCAATTAAAAACAAACCACACCAAAGGCAAAACTCTCTTATGACTTGGGCCTGTACCCTGAGAATACAGAGAAAGACTGAGTGCTGTCTATCTCATAGTGGCTGGATCCACAGAACAGCTGAGTTGAACCTGACCCAGTGTTCACACAGGCCAGTCAAATTCCTGAGATTAACTTCTTGACCAATATTTTTGAACCAGGTTTTGTGAACATAATGGCAACAAGCTTTTATGACTGCCAGTGGGCTAATGGTGTAAGCAAGGCATCATGCCACAGAACTGATTGAGTGTTATTGATAAATGGTCTTTGAGGTTATTGTAGTTCCAATTAATCAGCCTAGATGAGAAAAATCAAACATATGGTCTTGTTCAAGGACTCTGAGGGATTTGTCTGAGAGTAGAGAATACATTAATAATTGCTTGGAATGGGCTTAATGGCTCATATTGTAATTTTCCACACGCAAAACAATAAATCAATGGGAAGACTGAGATGTGATCTGCATGGGTTAATTAGGGTGCCTAAATGCCTTTGCTAATAAAGTACTGCAATTAAGATACTCTGTAAGTGGGAAAGAGAGCAAGGGCTTCAGCCTGCATCAGAGTACCACAGTTCTAGAGATCATACCTCCAAAGAAATGTCTGAGGTCTCTTTCTGATGATGTCAATCTGGTCAGTTCTACATATTTTTCCACTCTAGCCCTGAATCAATTTTTCCAAAAGGATTAAAAAGTTTGGCCTTGGGGAAGGTAACTCTCCCTTCTTAAATCAGGAAGGGTTTTTAGGATCAGACACCTCTGTCCTCCTGTAGAGATGCTGATGGGAATGGCTCCTTTATAACATATCCCCCCAAGTCTCTAAAGTCAATTGTCATGTATTATGCTGTAAGACCTTATTAATTCAAACTCTACTAATTTGAAATTTACAAATAATACCAATATATTTCTGTAACTTTATGAATAAAAAGTTAAAAATGGTATCTCCTTATGGCTTTTTAGGATTCTATCTACAATTTCAAGAGAATCTGGTCTCAAAATTAGTATCTTTTCAAGGTATGTTTGTAAGAAATTAAGTTTTTGAATGAGACATGTTGGATCAAATGACCATGGAGACCACTTCTAAATCTAAGACTGGTGACTATTTCTTTAATTTCTGGCAATTTCAGCTCTTGAAATGCAAAAGAATTTTTGTATTTTATGGGTGAATGGCAAATGTTTTTGTTAATTCACCAAACTCTGTATCTTTGACTCTGTTCTTTATGTCCTCCATAGCACATTTCCAGTAACACAGAATAATATTGGCTACAGAGAAGACAGGTAAGCTGGCTGAATGCAATTTGAGAATTTAATGAATGTCAACATGGTCTTCTTCCCAATAGTTCTAAATAAATAAGTTTCTGCTGCAAATTTTGTCCAATAGTATTGGCATTTATGGTGCTAACTTGGCAACCACACATGATACTCCACCTGTCACCATCCTCTTCACCAGGCCCCCATAATGTCTGCCAGAGGGTAAACCTTCTCCCATTCTGAATCTCACCTCCCTGTGTGCTCCTGAAGCACCTGGTAGACACTGATCCGGAAAGTTTCATTATCAAAGCGCTCTCGAATGTAATCCTTGTATATCCTAAATTCAGCAGCAGTCACAGCTTCTCCCTCTGGGATCCTGGAGAGATCAAACCTGAATTCCCGATGATGATAGCGTTGGTGGAAAAACTCTTTGTCATGCTCCACTGAAAAAAAAAGGGGGGGGAGGGGAAGAAAGGATAACTGGCTTTCCATTTATAAATCTTCTAGCAGGTACTTCCTACATTGTCCCTGTCATTTCACTTTAGATAAAGAGGAAGTAAGATGGGAGCAAGAAGCAGTTGGTTGTATTTCTATCACTTCTTACCACTTTCTGAACTGGAGAGCTAGATTGAACTCCTGTTTCTTCTCCTGCCTGTACCAGTGACAGTTTTCCTTTGGACTCTATAGTATAATATAGTTAGGAAAGAACATTGGATTTGGGGTCAAAGGCTCTAGCCTTGAATTCCAGCTCTCCTACATTTTTCTGTGTAACTTTGGACAAATCACTTTCCTTTTCCAAGTCTCAGTTTATTCATCTTTAGAGAGAGAGGTTTGTATGCAATGACCTCTAAGGTCTCTAGCTCTGAACCCTAGGATTCTATGAGTGCTATCGGCCCACTTTCATAACTATTCATTCAACACCTTGCAAATGCTTGGATTGACCACAAAGAGAGGGCAGAAACATAGCAAGGATGCTTCTAGGGGAAAAACGGGGGGGGGGGGGGGGGGGGGGGGGGGAGAGGCTGGCTGAAGAAGGC